TTCAATTCCCAGAGTTCCTCAGCCAGCTTTGCTGGCTGAGGAACTCTGGGAGTTGAAGTCCACAAGCCTTAAAGTTGCCAAGGTTGGAGACCCCTGCTTTAGACCATGTGGGTAGAGATCTTCCTCAACTTACAAACATTTGTTGAGCAACCGTTCGAAGTTATGACAGCATTGAAAAAGGGACTTATCAATGTTATGACCCTTACAGCATCCCCAGAGTCAAAGGATCAAAATTAAGGTGCTTGGCAACCAGCATGCACAGGTAGTCCTTGACTTACAACAGTTCATTTAGTGACCGTTCAAAGTTACAACAGCACTGAAAAAGGGAACGTACGACCATTTTTCACAGTTGCGACCTTTGCAGCCTCTGCCATGATGTGCGATCAAACATTCAGATCCTTGGCAACTGGTTTGTACTTATGACCGTTGCTGGGTCACCTGATCAACCTTTAGCGACCTTCTGACAAGCAAAGTCAATGGGGAAGCCAGATTCACTTAACAACCGGTATACTGACTTATCAACTGCAGTGATTCACTTAACAATGGAGGCAAGAAAGATTGTAAAATGGAACAAAAGTTAAAAAAAATGTCTCACTTAACAGAAATTTTCAGGCTCAATTGTGGTCATAAGTCGAGGGCTACCCATATTTATGACGATGGCAGGGGGATCGTGTGACTGCCAGTTTGAGACCTTCCCGACCCGCTTCAGACAAGCAAAGTCAATGGGGGAAGCCGGATTCACTTAACGACCGCATAATTCATTCGACAACTGCAGTGATTTGCTTAACAGCCAGGGCAAAAACAGTTGTAAAATTGGGTGTGACTCACAGAATTAACTGCCTTGCTTAGAAATGGAGATTCTGGTGCCAACTGAGGTTGTAAGTGGAGGACTACCTACTGGTAACTTCAAATGGCTCAAATGGCCAGATTCACTTAACAATTGGGTTACTAACTGAACAAGTGCAGTGATTCACTTAACAGCTATGGCCAGAAAAGTCGCAAAATGGGGCAAAACTCACTTAGTAGATTTCTCATTTAGCAACATAGAATTTTGGGCTCAATTGTGGTCGTTAAGTCAAGGACTACCTGTATCTATTCACATTTGCGTGCTTTCGAACTGCTAGGTTGGCAGGAGCTGAGGTGAGGATGGGAGCTCATCCCATCCCGCGGCGTTCAGGTCTCGAACCCAGGCTGCCGGCTTTCCAGCTGACAAGCCCAGCATCCTTACCCACTGAGCCACCGCGGCGCCGTATTCAAGACACAAACAATTCAATATTTTCTGGTATGGTTTACCTGCTGGCTCCCTGGAAAGGTCCACAGTAGAAAGTGATCCTACATTTGCTCTCCTTCCTGTCTTCTTCGCTAGATCTCTTATCTGCACCTAACTTCTCTGTGCTCGGGGTGCTACCGTTCCCTTCACTAGGGTATACAGCATTAAAAGAAGAATTCAGAGGTATTACCACGGTGCAAATGGATGTGTTTCTTTTGTGGATCCTTAGGCCTCCCTGGCCCCTTTCATACACCCACCTTTAAAACCCTCATAAAACAGAAACTGGATTATGTCCAGAGGGGGTATTCAGCCGGTTCGGACCGGTTCAGGCGAACCAGTAGTGGAAAGTTGGACTAGTTTTGGAGAACCGGCAAATACCACCTCTGGTGGGCCCGCCCCCCCGCCCCCCCCTTCCTGTCCTATATTCCCTTGTTTTTTTACCTCAGCTGATTTGCGTGGCAGACCGGATTGCTGCGCCTCAGCTGAGCTAAAAAAAAAACAGCTCACCTCACTAGCGCTGACACAGAGGACGGTTTTTGAGTGCTGCGCTATGCGAAGCATGCTCTCGTGGTAGAACTGGTAGGAAAAAATTTGGAAGCCCACCACTGATTATGTCCCAAGAGCAGAAACAACCAGGCCTCCATCTGTGGTTATTGTACCCTGCTAATGTAATCAACAACTATCCAAAAAAAAGGACGGACTGAAGAAGCTTCTTGGATGAGAAGCGAAACGTCTTCAAAGAAAAATAGACAGAAAGTCCAGTTGCCCTCTTGAAAAAAAAAGCACCTTTTGGACAATAAAAGAAAAGGTCCCACAACAGCATCAAAGGAGCCACACAGGCTTAGAACGAACAAACAGGACCATTAAAAGAAAGGGGAAACCCCCCAAATAACCCCGGAAATTTGGTAACCACTGAACAGCCCCGTAAGCGTGAATTATGACGCTTAAAAACCTGTCTCCTTGCAACTGAAGAGGAGTTAAAATTCAGTTTCCACTAAAAGAGACTGAAGGGAAAAGTCAGAGCTTGCTGTATGCAGGTAGTCCTTGACTTATGATGGTTCACTTAGTGATCGTTCAAAATTACAATGGCACTGAAAAAAAGTGACGTGACCGTTTTTCACACTTACGACTGTAAAAGCATCCTCACAGTCACAGGGTCAAAATTCAGACACTTGGCAACCGACTCATATTTATGACGGCTGCAGTGTCCCAGGGTCATGTGATCCCTTTTCTGACAAGCAGTCAATGGGGAAGCCAGATTCACTTAACAACCATGTGACTAAACAACTGCCGCGATTCACTTAACTGTGGCGAGAAAGGTCGTAAAATGGGGCAAAACTAACTTAACAGCTGTCTCACTTAGCAACAGAAACGTTGGGCTCAATTGTCATCGTAAGTCGAGGACTCCCTATACACTGAAACCCTTGCAGCTGATTTCTTTTTTAATAAAAATTGACTGTAATTTTTATTACAGTTCATACGGGAAGTCTGAGATCCTCAGAAAATGTTTTGTAGAGGTGCTTTTTTCAAGAGGCAACTGTTTCAGACTTATTTGTTGGAGTGGAGGTTTTCTGGAACACTGTCATTCTGTTTTTTCTTTATATTTCGCTTCTCATCCAAGAAGTTTCTTCAGCTCTGACTGAATGGTGGATAACTTGCAAGGAATATAAATCCTTCTATCAGGATTCCGGCAGTTACCCCAATTAAATCATGAGTCTCGAACCAAACTTCCAAAACTAAACAGGATTTATTGGGAGACAACCAGAGGTGTTATTCAGCAGGTTCTGACCAATTCTGGAGAACCAGTAGCGGAAATTTTGAGTAGTTCGGAGAACCGGCAAATACCACCTGTGACTGGAGATTTTACAGTATCCTTCCCCTGCCACGCCCACCAAGCCACGCCCACAGAACCGGTAGTAAAAAAAATGGACTCCCACTACTGGAGTCAACATGTCGGCATGACCTGGGTGTAGCCGACTCTGAGACATGTCATTCACTGTCACCCTTGACCCTGGTTTTCCCCCACCCCCTGGGTGTATCATAATTCATATTCTCCAACAAAACACGTCCATAGCCAACAGTCATCAATCATGTTCTCCAATTAGATTTTCGCCTGGCAGAAACTTCAGTCACCTAGTTACAATCTCTGAAAAACTATGAATGGGATACACTTCCGATTCCAAACTGCTACACTGCTCTCTTTCAAACCCCTTTCTCCCCACTCTCTTTCTGTTGGCAACTTTAAAACGGCCATAGAAATGTTTTATGAATTGTCTCTTGAAAAAAAGCACCTTTGGGACAGCCCTGACCTGGACGACTGAGAATATCCATAGACGTTTTGCAGAGGGGTAAAAAATTCAGTTTTATATCCCCAATGCTGTCACTTGCAATTGCAGGCACACACACCCCAAAAATAAACATAATGCATACCCTGATACAACTTGTTTGGGGGGTAAAAATATCACTTAAATGGATTAAATTGCTAGTTTTGACTCAATTGTGCTGGCTGGCTAGGGAAGATCCCCACTAAGACAGTGCCACCAAAGGGCAATTATTGGTGGTAACATTCACCATGGGTTTTTAAGCTCCTAATTTTTCAACCTATACCAGGTTATACTATACTATAACCTTTCAACCTATACTATAACCTTAAACACTCAAAGAGCTCTTTGGACCTGTTTCCCCACAGAAAACACCGGGAGCCCCAAAACCTGGGTGGGTGTGGCAAACTCAACATCACTCCCACCCAGTAACATGACCCCCGCTCTTCCATGCCTACCCAGGTTTTGTGGCTCCCCGTGTTTTCTGTGGGAAATGGGTCTCTCTCTCTTTCTCCCTCCCTCCCTCCCTCTCATTTTTGTTATTTTGAGTTTCACCTTCTCAAGCCAGGCGAGGAGTGACTGGGAGGGCGAGGGGCAGGGCCAGCCAGCGGTGGGATCACCCAACAGGGAGCAACAGCAGAAGGCCCAAAGAGCTGCATGTGGCTCCGGAGCCGCAGGTGGCTGACACCCAACCTATACCAACACGGCCTTGGTAGAGAAAATCTATTTTTGACTCTGCTTTTTTAATGTTTCGGTTTGATGCCAGCAGGCACAAAAGCACCATTATTTTGTCCATTTCTGCTTTCTCTCTACGCCCAGCAGTTTTACCAACTAAGCCACTTCCTGCCGAGGGGTGTCCTAAGGTGTGCCCATACCCGTTTCATGCGTGTGCTTTTTATTAACACTTACCCCAAGGGTTTCGGTTTGTGAGTGTCCAAAGAATGCAGTTGGCACCGCTTGTTCTTCTTACTTTTCGGAATTGCATCAATCATTTCATTTAATTTGGACCTTTGGGGAGAAGAGAAGAAATGGGGAAAAAAATTTTAAAAAAAAATCCTTGAAAAATCCGTTCTGTCAGCTTTGGAAGCCATATTAGCACCAGACGCTTCCACACTGCCACATTTTGAGCCTGGGAAAATGGGAGGGGGGAATGTCTTGGAGTGTATGTGGTTAGACATAATAGCATTCTTCTTCTAAGTCAAGGTCATGTTATTTCTGCACCTGGGTGAGAGGACGTGTCAAGTGGGGGCAGATGGTGATTGGGGCCTGGGATGCCATGAGGGGTGCAGGAGGCGGATTTGTATTTTTTTACTTATTGCAAGGAAACCCGAAACTTTTAGATTTGGGATTTCCCAGATGTGCCAGTTTACTACCCAAATAAAAAAGAACTTTTGAGAGGATTTGTGTCTCGGAGTTATTTGTTGGAATGGAGGTTTTCTGGAATGCTGACACGTTCAACATTATATTTCCCATCCAACATGATTTTGTATGAAGGCCCATTATAGATGCTCTTTCATAAACTTTCATTGTACAGGAAGTCCTCATCTTACAATAGTTCATTTAGCAACTGTTCAAAGTAACGAAGGCCCTGAAAGAAGTGACTTTATGACCATTTTTCACAAGCAACCCCGTGGTCACATGATCAAAATTCAAACGCTTCATATTTATGGTGGTTGCAGTGTCCCAGGGTCATGTGATCCCCTTTTGCAACCTTCTGACGTTGTAAAGGCAATGGGGAAGCCAGGTTCCCTTAACAACCGTGTTACTAACTGAACAACTGCAGTGATTCATTTAACAAATGTGGCAAGAAAGGTCCTAAAATAGGACAAAACTCACTTTGTAAGTGTTTTGCTTAGCGACAGAAATTTTGGGCTCAGTTGTGGTTGTAAGTCAAAGATTGCCTGCATTTTTAACAGATTAACAGAGTTGGAAGGAACCTTGGAGGTCATCTAGTCCAACCCCCAACCCAAGCAGGAGACCCTACACCATTTCTGACAGATGGCAGTCCAGTGATGAAAGCCTCCAGTGATGAAGCTCCCACAACCTCCGAAGGCAACTTCTGTTCCACTAGTTGATTGTTCCCACTGTCAGAAAATTCCTCCTTACACTATTTGTATGATGTCGACAGCTATCTTGGGATTGCGACTAGCGCGTGGTTTAGGTGTAGTAATCTGTGGGTAAAGGAGTGGCGTAATCCACATAGGAAACCAGAGTTTGCCTATATCAAAACACGGCAGGGTGCAGATGGAGGTTAATCTATGGTTATTTCTCTATTCCAAACTCCGGCCAACTCTGGGCTGGCCACAAATGAAGCCCCTCTAGCCGCCATGTATCTAGGGTACTTTTTCTATTCTGCATCGAAGGTGAATTGGGCAGCCTCTTAAATCTGACAGGAAAAGGATGGGCAATTATGACCCTTTTATAACCTTTGTAACCATTCCCAGAATTCCCGAGCCAGTGCACAACTCGTAAAGGGGCCATAGTGGCTCACCTTTGTGACAGAATGAATACATAGGTAGACAGGTGGATGGGTGGATGAAAAACAAAAATCTTCCCACGAGGGATAGGGCAAGACGCTGGCCCTCAGTGATCTTACCCATGTACGTAGAAAAGCGTGTAAAGCTTCTTTGCATCCCTCATGCAGCTCGGAGTGACAGACAGGACTCCCTTGGACCCGACCGTGAGGGGTTCGAGAGCGGGATTCCCAGACTCCACCAGCTGAGAAAAGAGGCGCTCCACGCTACGGCGGCAGCCGACGCAGGGGACGAGCTGAGAAAGGGCGCTCAGGACTTCACGTGACGTCACCATCATGGCGATGCTCAAATCTTGCTGCTTCAGCATGCTATGCCTCTGCAGAGGGAAGAGAGTAAGGAATTATTTAAAGTAACGGTTCAGCGCTACAGCGACCATCATAGGTAGGAAAGTATAATTTGTTTGTTGGTTTGCAAAATTTATACAAGCCATGCATCTCAACAGAATAACCAGAGTTGGAAAGGACTATGAGAATATGGTAAACCAGAAAGGATTATTGTCGGGGTTCTGGCAGTTACTCCAATTAACTCATAAAACATTTTGTATACATGTTTTATAGTTGATAATTACATTGTAAAGTATCTGCAATGAGATTATTATATGATGATTAAAAGGAGGGAGTGAAAACTTAATAAAATTCCATAGGTAAAATTTGGTTAAATGGAAACAGGGAGGAAATATGAAATGGTTATAGGAATATCTCTGGAAGAAATATAAGATTACAATAAATCTTGTATTTCTTCCAGAGATATTCCTATAACCATTTCATATTTCCTCCTGGGGGGAAATACCATGTGGATCCTGAATATATTAGTTTATTTTATTCTTTTTGTTGTTGTTTATTACACATTGGCTTTGAGAAAGTTAAAGAAGATAATAATGTAAAATAAAATAGGTGGTAAGCTGGAAATGAAAATAATAGGGGATAAAGAGTGGAAAATATATGTGAGGATGAAATGCTTTTGATATTGGATTAATGAAAATATGAAGTGAGAACTTATTTAAAGATCAATGGAATAGATAATGATTTGATATGAAATTAAATAAAGTTGGAAATGTAATTATGACTATGCATGAATGTTGTAGCTTGGAACCACGTGGCTCACTTGAAGAGATGTGTAAAAAATAAAAAAACTTTTATTTAAAAAAAAAAAGAGTTGGAAGGGACCTTGGAGGTCTTCTAGTCCAACCCCCTGCTCAAGCAGGAGACCCTATACCATTTCAGACAAACGGCTGTCCAATCTCTTCTTAAAAACTTCCAGAGTTGGAGCATTTACAACCTCTGGAGGCAAGTAGTTCCACAAGTTAATTGTTCTAATTGCCAGGAAATTTCTCCTTAATTCTAGGTTGCTTCTCTCCTTGATTAGTTTCCATCTATTGCCTCTTGTCCTACATTTGGGTGCTATGGAGAATAGGTTGACCCCTTTTCTTCTTTGTGGCAGCCCCTCAAATATTGGAACCCTGCAATCACTCTTTTCATTAAACTAGACATATCCAATTCCTGCAACAATTCTTCATATGTTTTAGTCTCTTGGTGCTTTTTCTGCACTCTTTCTAGCATTTTAACACCTTTATATCATGGTGACAAAACTGGATGCAACATACCGTCTTAAACAACAATATATTATTTATATAATATATAAAAATCACAAGCTATATTTATAGCACTTAGAAACAGCAGTAGCACTTAAGACATATACTGCTTCTCGGTGTTTCACAGCCCTCTCTAAGCGGGTTTATAGTCAGCCTATTGCTCCCCCAACAATCCGGGTCCTCATTTTACCCACCACGGGAGGACGGAAGGCTGAGTCAAACCCGACCCCCACTGCCAGGATCAAACTTCAGCTCTTCATAAACCTTAGCCTCCAGGCCCCTAATCGTTTTTGTGAATTTAAAAACCCCAGCGCTTGGATCTCGCAAGGGCAAGATACTACTGTACCTGAATGAACTGCTTCAACTGGCCTCCATTGTGCTGATGTCCATCCAGGTTTAGCATGTTATCAGGAAATTCCATCACCATCTGCATGAGAAGAACAACATTGGCAGTTGAGTTCTGGGGCCAAGGTGGAAGCAGACACTGGAGATCACACACACACACACACACACACACGAGTGTCTATGGAGATTCTCAGTCATCCACGTCCCAAAAGGGATGTTTCTCAAGAGGCGACTGGACTTTCTTTGTTTTCCCTTGAAGACATTTCGCTTTTCATCCCAGAAGCTTCAGCTCTGACTGGATGGTGGGGATTGGTAGGATTTATACTTCTTCCGTCTGTAAACCTCCAAGTGGCCTCAATGATTAGCTTAAAGGATGCAAATGACCAGCCGTCTGCAAGGAGTATAAATCCATCCATCCTCCACCATCCGGTCAGAGCTGAAGAAGCTTCTGGGATGAGAAGCGAAACGTCTTCAAAGAAAACCCAGAAAGTCGAGTTGTCTCTTGAAAAAGGCACCTTTGGGACGTTCATGCTGAGAATCTCCATAGACATCTAGTGAGCAAACGTCCTTCCTTAGGCACAAAGCCAGCTCAGCATCTTTGGGCCAGTTAGGCCATCTATGTCAAAATTGAACAGCCCTCTCTCAACAGGGTGACTGGGGGGGGGACACAACATCATCTATCTCCAGTGTACAACACAGTCCTTTCAGCAGTTCCAAGAAGGCTCCACACCCATTTGCACCACTCAGGTGAAACTGAGGACACAGACGGACCTCCAAGTGGCCTCAATGATTCTCTAAAAAGGATGCAAATGACCAACTGTCTGCAAGGAATATAAATCCTTCCGATTTAGGTCAAGGGTGTGCAACTTTGACAACTTTAAGACTTGTGAACTTCAACTCACAGAATTCCCCAGCCAGCTATAAAGTTGCCAAGGTTGGATTCCCCTTATCTAGGTGGTCATTAAGAGTCAATACCAATTTGATGGTACATCACCCATCCATCCATTCACCACCCACCCATCCATTTATTAATTCACCTACTCATCCATTCCTCCATTCACCTATCCATCCATTCACCCACCCACCCACCCACCCATCCATTCACCCACCCACCCACCCATTCATCCATTCACCCATCCATTCACCCACCCATTCACCCTCCACCCATCCATTCAACCACCCATCCATCCATCCATTCACCCACCCACCCACCCATTCATCCATCCACCACCCACCCACCCATTCACCCACCCACCCACCCAACTATTCACCACCCACCCATCCATTCACCCACCCACCCGCCCGCCCATCCATCCAAATAGACAATCAGAAGATATATTTGAATGGGACATCCAGACCTGCACAGGTAATCCTCGACTTACGACCACAGCTGAGCCCCAAATCTCTCTTCCTAAGCGAGATATTTGTTGAGTTTTACAACCTTTCTTGCCACAGTGGTCAAGGGAATCCCTGCAGCTATTGCATTATTAACAACTGGGTTGTTAAGGGGATCTGGCTTCCCCGTTGACTTTGCCTGTGTCAAGGAGGTCACGAAAGAGGATCATGTGATCCCAGGATGCTGCAACCAACATATAAATACATGCCAATCGCTATGAATCTGAATTTGGATCATGTGACCCTGGGAAGCTGCAATGGTCGTTAAGTGTGAAAAATGGTCATAAATCACCTTTTTCAGTAGTGTAACTTCAAACGGCCACTGAACGAAGGGTTGCAATTCGAGGCCTACCTGTGTAGACTGTGCTGACCTTACTTGCACCTCAACCTTGAAGAGCTGAGTTGTAAACAGAGCAACAGGTGGCTAAGCCTTATGACTTTTTGGAGGGCACACAATCACAAGGCCCCGTTTCTCAAGACCTTCTTAAAAGTACAACATCACGTATTCAGCCCCTTAAAAGGACTGCTGTGCTCCTCTTGTAACACCACAGCCTATTTGCTTTGAAGCGCAACGTGAACAGAACGGCTTGCACTGCCACAAATAAATGAAAGCTTCAACACAACCCAGAAAGCTTATAGAGTTAAAGGATTTACAACAGTTCATGCACTGACCGTTCAAAGTTACCGTTTCCCTGAAAATATGACCTACCCTGAAAGTAAGTCCTAGCTTGATTTTTACATGTGAGCCCAATATAAGCCCTACCCCCCAAAACAAACCCCAATTAAGATCCTGCCCACTCCAGAGTGCACGGGTAAAAATTAAACTAGGGTGGGGATAGTGGGGTGGAGCTGCCCTACTACTTACCTTTGGACAGTTGTAGCCAGGCCTCGCACACCTGCCTCGCCAGCCCATTTCTTCTGCAACCAGCAAGGCAGGCAAGGCTTTCCTGAAGGCCTCTGTAGCTGATAAGAAAGCTCTGGATCGATCCAGAGCTCTGTTATCGGCCGCAGAGGCCTTCAGGAAAGCCTTGCCAGCTGCGAAAGAAATTCCTGGAGGCCTCTGACAGCAAAAAGGAGGCCGGGGGCGACGTGTGCAAGTGAGGTTAGTCAGTGGATGACATCCCCCGTAAATAAGACCTGGTACCCTTTTTGGTGGCAAGAAATATATATAAAACACGGCAGGATGGCACTGTAAAATGTGACCTTTGACCATTTTTCACACTTACAACCTTTGCAGCATCCCCATGATCACGTGATCAAAATTCACACGCTTGGTTCATACTTATGACGATCACAGCATCCCGGGGTCAGGTGATCCCCTTTCTGCGACCTTCTGACAAGCAAGTATGAGTTGGAGGGCTGTGGCTATTGCTAGCCTTGCAAAAGACTTTGAAGACCTGCTTTTTCTCCCAATCGATGGAAAAAGATAAAAAGAGGATGGCACATTGTGGTTTTAAATGTTCTGTGTTTTATAACTTAAGGAGGTGATAAGCCGCCAAGGAAAGCCAAGGGAAATTATCAAAACCATCAAAAAGCAAAAGTTAGAATATTTTGGACGTGTGATGCGATGCCCAGAAAAATACGGCATACTTCACTTCATCCTCCAGGGAAAGATGGAAGGCAAATGAGGTCCAGGCAGAAGAAGAACATCATGGCTTCAAAATCTAAGGGACCAGTTTGGACAAAACTCAGCAGCACTTTTTCATGCGGCTGTTGATCAAAATAGGAGATCGCCAACATGATCGCCAAACCAGAAATATTTTTGTTGGGCATAATGCCGGAGGGCTATGATAAAGGGACTATATACCTAGTCTTGCCTGTTATTGACAGCAGTGAAGATTGTATTTGCACAATACTGGAAAAAAAATGACAACACTCCATCAGATGAGGATGTAATTTGGAAAATATTGGATTGTGCAGAGATGGACACATTAACATTAAAAATAAAGGACAAAGAGGATACAGTATATTTACTCAACATGGAATAGATTTTATGAGTGGTTAGAGATAATAGACATTAGATGAAGAAAGATTATGGCTATGTACGAACTAAATATAAAAAATGGTTTATAATGATAAATATGCCAATATAACCAACAGGATTACAAATAAGCTAATATAAAGAGAAATTCAGTTAAAACTATTCTGTTACACCATTACTATTGTTATTAGTATATATGTTACTATTTCTTTTTCTTTTCTGTAGATATGCTCTGACAATACACTGTATTCAAAATGTTTTTTTTTTGTATGTGTGTGTGTGTACATACATACATACATACATGATCGCCAACATCCAATGAGGGATAATGGCACAAGAAGAGATGTTTTATCCAGTTGAGTTTTATAATGTTTAAAATGATTTTATACAGGAAGTATAAAACTTAGAGCCACTGGTGTCACGACCATTCCACGTTACAATGAGACTGAAAAAAAGTCCTTACTTCTGACCGTTTCTCACACTTATAACTGTTGCAGCATCCCAAATGTATTTACCATACAGGTAGCCCTCGAGTTACAACAAGTCATTTTGGACCGTTCCAAGTTACAACGGCACTGAAAAAAGTGACTTATGACCTTTTTTTCACACTTAACGACAACATCCCGGTGGTCACATGGCCTCCTGCAGCCCTCTGCCAACAAGAATGGAGCTTGGGGAGGCCACACACAGCTCATCCGTGCTTCATTTTCAGCCGCGACAGCCTCCTGCCAGCAAAAACAGAGCCCGAGCCAGCCGCCTACGACCTCTCCAAACTGTTTTTGTTGGCAGAGGGCTGCAGGAGGCAGTTGCAGCCGAAAACAGAGCCTTGATGAGCGACATTGATGACCTTGATGGCCACGCCCACCCCAGCCAAGCTCACCTGCGGCCCCGAGGGTCAAACACAACCCTGATGTGGCCCTCCATGAAATCGAGTTTGACACCCCTGGTGTCAGGATTCCAGCGATCGCCCCAATTTAATCATAAGCCTGGAGGGCAAACTTCAAAAGATTTATTACGAGTGACATGCCAGCATGACCTGTATGAAGCCGACTCTCTGAGACATGTAGGATATGTTTTACAAGTTGACACCTGGTCTAGATGATTTACAAGGTCCCTTCCAACTCTTGTTAATCCGAATCTTAATTTTGGATGGAGATTTGCCCAGCGGTGGTCGAAAGATGGACGGCTATCTAAACGGTTTAAATAAATAAACATTTAAGGGCTAAGTAGAATGCTGGTCAGCTGCCTGCTCCCAACTCACCCTTGCCCCCAGTGCCGTATCCCTGGATTTCTCAAATTGTTCTTTGAGAAGATCAAAGGTCTTTGAGGAAGGACCTTGTCAGCTTCTTCTCTTGCGCAAAGCAAAGACCTTTGATCTAATCCAACATTCATCTGTCTTATGTCACAGGCAAGGTTGCCCTCTCTTTGCAAGCATGCTCTGGTCCTCTGAACACCTCTCAGGGATTAGGAAAACTGCCCCAAAGCTGCCTTTTAACAATACAGGACATCTTAAAGCTAATAATAAATAATGAACCCAGATAAATTTTTTATTAATCAAATAAAAATTGGTGTCTTCGAACAGCTGGGGAAAATGCTGACGTGTGTGTGTGTGTGTGAATACCCAAGGTTGACACTGAAATGTAATCCATAAGACTGGAATTTACATCATAAATTGGTTGTAAAGTTACAACGGTCAGTGCCGTTGT